AGCCACGCAACCCCCCCTCCCCCCGGCCGCGCTTCCTGGCATGGGGGGGGGGTGGGGGAGACCAGGGAGGAGCGAGAGGAGAAGCGAAACTGGGAGCAGCGGCAGCAGCGCGGCGCGGAGAAAGGCAAGCGGGCAAAAGCCGCCAGTCAGCCGGGCAAGCCACGCAACCCCCCCTCCCCCCGGCCGCGCTTCCTGGCATGGGGGGGGGGTGGGGGAGACCAGGGAGGAGCGAGAGGAGAAGCGAAACTGGGAGCAGCGGCAGCAGCGCGGCGCGGAGAAAGGCAAGCGGGCAAAAGCCGCCAGTCAGCCGGGCCGAGGGCGGCCTGGACTCTGGCCACTGGAGCTGGGAACGGGCGAGACTGAGCTTTCGACAAACCTGTCAGACCACCCCAGGTTTGCAGACAACTGCAAAATCTGGAAAACGAAACCAAAAAAAACCCCCAACTGGTAAACAGAGTGCCTGTCGCTTTAAACAACAGATTCCTCCAGTGGCTGTTGCTAAGCAACCACCGCACTCCAGCTTTGGTTCTGTTCTGGGTATAAGCTTTGGTGTGCACACACGCAGGCGTGCCTTCGGGTGCATTGAAACAGAAGTCACCAACCATTACCTGTAGACAGAGTGTGGTGAAATGGTTGCCCGGAAGGGCCAGTGAGAGTCAGGAGGCAGAAGTAACCGGACAAATAGATATAGCTAATTTTGGATGAAGGCAATTGGTAAGACCTGTGAATAGTGGCAAACCGCATAATTAAAAAGTTTAATGCTGTAAGCATGTGTACTGAGATAAGAAACCTATATCTCTGTTAAGCCCTTGGGGGTCCCATTGTCCTGAGTCCTGTGATAACTTGTAACTCAGCAATCTCCCGTTTTAGTCTGTTCCTGAAATTCTTTTGCAATAAAACAGCTGCTTTGAGGTCCCCCGTTGACTGTCCTGGGAGGTTAATGTGTCCTCCTACAGGTTCCTCAGTCTTGTGATTCTTGATGTCCATTTATCCTTCGGCGTAGGGCTTGACCTGTTTGCCCTGTGCAGAGAAATGAAGGGCTTTGTTGGCATTGAATGGCATGTACAATGTTAGAGGATGAGCAAGTGAATGAACTTGACGTGGCCCAGTTAATGTGGTCAGGTCCAGTGATGATGATCGCCTTGCCCCCTGGGTGTCCGCGGCAGCAAAGGGGGTTTACCGCAAACTCTGGCACACCCCCCCCCCCGTGTGTCCATGTGCAGACTGGATGCTCCTGCAGCCGTTTGTAAACTTTCATTATGTTGTATGCTGACTTGCGTCCATTCACAGATCTTACAAATTTGGCTGCACCCAGGGCTGTTTTTGGGCAGGAACACACAGGAACGGAGTTCTGGCTGGCTCCCGAGTTGGCCACGCCCAGCAGGAAACTCATTAGCATAACAGGCCACACCCAACAGCAGAAAATCATTAGGATTGGCTACATTAGGGGTGTGTGGCCTAACATGCAAAGGAGTTCCTGCTACAAAAAAAAGCCCTGGGTTTGGACAACAAACAGGTAAAGAGAATAAGAAGCAAAAGGTGGGTGTGGCTGGATGAGCACACTTCTGGTAACACGGGGGTGCGGCCTAATGTGTTAATGAGCTGTGCTGTCAGGGGTGTGGCCTAATATGCTAATGGGTTCCTGCTAATGAGTTCCTGCTGGGCTTTTTAACTTACGCATCTTCTTGACTCTAGCGCTTTGCGGCAACAACTTGCCCCACCCTCTGCCTGTAGGTAAAGGCGGGAGACTTCTCTTTCAGTGTGTCGGAAGCAGAGGTCATTTCAGGGGGGGATCACGGGGGATCGCAGTTCCCCCGGGTGAGGTACGGGGGGGAGGGGCACACGACGAAGCCCCGCCCCCTGCTTCCGGCCGCCCCGCTTCCGGCCCTCATTCAGCCAGGAGGAGGCAGGAGAAGAGGGAGGGTAAGTTTCTTCCTCCCTGCCTCTCCCCACCCCTGCTTCCTTGCACTCCCGCCGGCCTTGCAGGTCCACCGCCGGGCCCCTCATGGGGCTCGGCAGTGGAGCTGCACGGCCGGGACCGTTGGGGGCGGGGTGTGTGGCCTTATGGCACACTTCCGGTGATGTCAGGGGGTGTGGCCTTATGACACACTTCCGGTGATATCAGGGTGTGTGGCATATGCTAATGAGTTATGCTAATGAGTTCCCCTAGCTCTTTTTCTACGAAATGACCCTTGGTCGGAAGGAGCGTTTGCCTGTGTGCACGACAGCTTATGCCCAGCTTAGACTTCAAGGTGCCCGACTGGGCTCAAATCCTGGAGGTATCCCTGCCAGGCAATGGGGCCTGGACCAGAGGTTGGCACCACAAAACTGGATCACAGTTTCCTTAGACGGAGGCTGCCAGCGGGCGGGCGGGACTGAAGACAGAGGGGCAGACAAAGGGAGGTTGGCTGTCGGATGGGAAGAAGATAGGGTTGCCAACTCCAGGTTAGGAAACACCTAAAGATCTCAGAATGCCGTAGACTCCACCCTCCCGGGCAGCCGTTTCCTCCAGGGGAGCTGGGGTTGCCAGTGTTCAGGTGGAGACTGGAGGTCACCTGGAATTCCAGCTGCTCTCCAGAGGACAGAGACCGGTCCCCCTGGGGAAAATGGCTGTTTCGGAGGATGGCCCTATACTCTGCTGAGGTCATTTCCCTCCCCCAAAGCTCACCCTTGCAATGCTCCCCCCCCCCCCCAGCTC